CTCCTCCCCCTCTCGTGGGAGCTCCTCCCCCTCCTCCCGGCTCCTCCTCGACGTCGAAGAAGAAGAAGACGGTGAAGTTGTTCTGGAAGGAGCTGAAGCAGGCAGACGGACCTCAGAAGTGTCGCTTCGGTCGAGGGACGGTGTGGGCGTCTCTGGACAAGGTGGAGGTGGACACGAGCCGCCTCGAACTCCTGTTTGAGTCCAAGGCCAAGGAGCTGTCTGTCGCCAAGGTAACCAGGAGGAGGGGCGTAACACCATCAGGCTGAAACAGGACACTGATGGTTCTGAGCACAAACACCTGTGATTGATGCCAAACTGAAGATGTATTTACCGCAGGGTTCCTGCAGATCCTTAAAAAGCATTACAAGTCATTGAATTCATCAATCCAAAAATAAGGCCTTAATTAGCCTTAAAAGACTTAAATCAGTCTTCAGAGGTCTTAAAAAACACATTGTTATTGTAATTCATCTCATATTTTAAAATAATTGGTAACATTTATTTAGTTTTTAAAAACTATTTTGTTAAAGTTAATAAAATTTAGTTTTGGTAAACATTTGGGTGAAATTGTCGCAAAGATTATTTTTATTTATTCTTTTTTTTGTCCTGATGCATCTCATCTTATCTTAATTTTTGCTTTTTGCTTTTTTTCGTATTGTTTTTGTAGGGATGCCCCGATATGAAAATTTCTGCCGATATCGATATCAGCTATAATTATTGGTGTTATGGCCGATAACCGATATTTACTGATATTACACAAACACACAAATTATATTATACATATACACACAAACACACTTGGGTCTTTTTTTGATACCATAAATAAATGACCAGACCTCTGACATGGCTCCCTACTTCAGTTATTCCTGGCTGCAGCGTCAATATCACTATTATGATCAAACAGATGCCACTCAACCAACCATTTCTCCTTCCAAAACAGAAACACAAAGATAAAAAGTGGGAAATCAATATCGGACGTTAATATCGGCCCAGTTTTACATAACAGACCGATACCGATTTTCTAAAAAATTGCCAATATTGGCCGATATCGATATCAGTACCGATATATCGTGCATCCCTAGTTTTTTGTGAAGATGGTCTTAAAATAAATTTCAAGTGGCATTAACGAGGTCCTAAAAAGTCTTAAATTTAACTTGTTTTAAGCTGTAGGTACCCTGTAACAGAAACAATTTATAAATCACCCTAGCTTCAGTCGGAGGTTCATCTCCAAATGTTTTTGGATGTGTAGAGCAGGGTGTCATCGGCATATTGTTGGATTTCAGTCAGGCGACCCGGATAATATTATTATGATATTATGATTTTATTCTCGTAAAATTATGACTTTATTGTTGTAATATTACAACTTTAATCTCGTAATAATAATTTAAAAATCTCGTTGTGTGGCCCTAATACTCCGTCGTAGCATAGAAACAAGTTAGAGGGCAAAATGTGTATTCTAGTGGCCATTTTGAAAATCCAAGGTGGCCGCCACCTAAAATGTATTTTGGTGGTCACTTCTGGATTCATTACACTTGAGAATATGAGTTTAGACATTAAAAACATGGCTTTATGTAGATTAAAACCACGTTAGAGGAAAAAATGTGTATTCTGGCAGCCATTTTGGAAACTATCCCAATAAAAAAAACAAAAAAGAGGAAAAATAGAGCCAACAGAATTACTCTAAAGTCCACTCTGATTCCCAAAACACATTTCCTTTGGTGTTTCTGAGGTGTTGCTTCGTTTTCCTTTGTGTGATTGACATCATTATTATTTTTTTTTAGAAAGGACCAGAGATCAAAAAATCTGAGATTTTGGTTTTGGACCCCAAGAGGAGTAACGCAATCAACATTGGCCTGACCGTCCTGCCGGCTGTCCACGTCATTAAGAGTGCCATCCTCAACTTCGATGAGTTTGCCATCAGTAAGGAGGGCATTGAGGTAGGCGCCACTTCCTGTCTACTAAGGATTATTGACTCCTGGATCAGTCGGTCCTCACAGCCCTCTTCTGTCCTGAGTAGAAGATCCTCAGCATGGTGCCGTCAGACGAGGAGAAGCTGAAGATCCAGGAGGCTCAGTTGGCCAATCCTGACATCCCGCTGGGATCGGCCGAACAGTTCCTGTTAACCCTGGCCTCCATCAACGCCCTGACCCCCCGCCTCCAGCTCTGGGCCTTCAAACTCAACTATGAGGTTCTGGAGAAGGTTAGTGCTCTGCTCAAAATCATGTTTTGGTAGCTACTGCTCAAAAAAAGTGTGTAAAAATTATTTGATTATTTTTTAGATATTTCATTAAAACAACCCGTAGATGAGGTATTTATTCATTATGTTTTGCAGTTAAACGTTTAAACCAAAACACTATAGCTGAATAATGTGTGTATGGTTCATTCTTTTTATCTGTTCAAAATAAAATGACAAAAAGAAAACCAACCGTGACTTGTCAGACCTTGTCTTGCTTTTCACAGGAGATCGCAGAGCCGCTTTTTGACCTGAAGCTGGGAATGGAACAACTGGCCAAAAATGAGACGTTTAGGAGAATCCTGGCAACGCTGCTCGCTATCGGAAACTTCCTGAACAGCTCAAACGTGAGAACACAAACACCAGAAACAGAAACGACAGAACTGAAACAAGGTCCAGAAACAAGGGTTGGGAAAGTTTTAGTCTCTTCCTGGCCTGGATGGATACGAACGCAAAGAAACCAGTGTTCTTTTACATTTTCAGACTGCTTTTAATAATATATTTTTCATATAATGTAAAAAATCCAATTAGTTTTCACATTAATAACACTTTAATTAAGGACACTTTTATCCTTGGTTTTGAGTTCTTGATTGAAAACCTTTGATGTTTTTATTAAGTGGCCAGGGTTCTTCTCATAAAACCATCATCTCTAACCTCTAACCATCATGTTATCAGTTCAGTCCACATGTCGACCTGTCTTTAATCAAAACAGTTTTGCTCCCAGTTGAAGGAACTTGAGTGATTTTAACAAAATATTCAGGTACATATTTCTTTTGCAAAGCTCCGCCCCTTTTTGGGGGCATACCCATCCACTTTGACGGGAGTTTAATGGAACTCCTGAGGTGTTTGTTAAGAAATATTCAGGTACATATTTCTTTTGCAAAGCTCTGCCCCTTTTTGGGGGCGTGCCCATCCACTTTAATGGGCAGTTAATGGAACTCCTGAGGTGTTTGTTAAGAAAACTGTTAAATTAACAGAATTGCCTCTTTTTTTTGGGCTTGTCAGACAAATATTTCCTTCTTGTTGTCTTCACTGTTGATCAACACTAAACATAAACATCTGTCAGTATTTATTAAAGTTCATCAGATTGGTTGAACAGCACCACCCAGTGGTTTGAGGTCATACAGTGAATCCTCAGATCTTTTTTATTGCCTGCCCTGTTTAGAGATGTAAACAAAGACAAAACCTTTATTATTTCTAGTTTTAGTTTTTTTTTTTGTCGTCTCGGTGCAGTGTACAAAAAAACGGTCAATCTATGGAAGCCAGCAGAACCAGCTCTTTTTCAGTATTTGTTTTCACCTAAAAGAAGCCGTGACTGTTTAATCACAAATCTATAGGGAAGAATCAAAGAGCCGAGACACAAAACTTAAAGTAAAATGTCTTTAAAAATAGAAAATGTTCAACAAAACAAAGAAATTGAAGGTAATATCTGTGACCGAACTGTACATAATCTAACAGAACTGAGACTTACAAACAGAAAAGTCAAAGAGAAAATAACAATGGGACCGGGGAGATGGAAGTCAATGCATCCGAAATAATTAAATAAAGGACAAAATGTCTTAAAAATTTACACACTTCTTATTCCATCAATTGAAAGGATGTTTGCTGATGGGGTTTTCATTTTTCAGAATGATAAAGCATCATAGTTTCATTTTAAAGCTGAACTTTGTCTAAAAACACCCGAAGGTTAGAGTTCAAATAAAGAGCAAACTAACCTCATTATGTTAGAACTTAAATATTTTCTCTTAAAGTGGATATTAGTTCTTATCCCACTGCTCCTGTATTTCTCAACAATTGTAATAAAAAAATGACAGTTTTTTTCTTTAGTGTCCAAAAACACAGCGTCAATATTTATTCAACAAAACCAAAGCTAAAATAGGAAAGATGTGAGTGAAAAACTACGTCGGCTCAAAATAAAAAGATAAAAGTTTTCCAGGACTGAAGATTTTCTGTTTGTAGTAAATTTCCTTAAATAATTCTGGTGTTTGTCTGAACGTCCTCGGTGAATCCGACCAATCAGAACGCTCCCTGATGAGATGGATGAAGATCTGTTTGTGGTCCTGGACTCAATCTGTTTCCTGTAAACTCAGATTAGAGCTGTAATCTCAGTCCGCTGTGTCCAGGCCAAAGGCTTCGAACTCAGTTACCTGGAGAAGGTGGTGGAGGTGAAGGACACGGTCCACCGTCAGTCCTTGCTGCACCACACCTGCACCTCAGTGGTGAACAATTACCCAGAATCCTCGGACGTCTACTCTGAGATTGCCGCCATCACGCGTTCAGCTAAAGTACGTCTCTGCTCCAAAACTCACTTTGTCTCATCCGAGACGACTTCCTGAGTTTTTTTTCTTCTTTCAGGTGGACTTTGATCAGCTGTCTGAGAACCTGCTGCAGCTGGAGAGACGTTGCAAAGCATCATGGGACAATCTGAAGGTGGTGGCCAAACACGAAACCAAGGCGGTGCTGAAGAACAAGATGACAGAGTTCCTGAAGGACTGCACCCAGAGGATCATCATCCTGAAGGTGGTCCACAGGCGGGTCATCAACAGGTAACACGCTGATCATCACCACACCGCTCTGAAGAACCGCCTGGACTCTTACCACCTCCTGATCCTTCCGGTCCTCTGGGTCCAGGTTCCACTCCTTCCTGCTGTTCCTGGGTCAGCCCTCCTCCTCCGTCAGAGACATCAAGGTGACCAGTTTCTGTCGAATCATCAGCGAGTTCGCTCTGGAGTACCGGACCACCCGAGAGCAAGTTCTCACCATCAAACGGAAACGAGCCGTGCACCGCGAGCGAACCAAGACCCGAGGAAAGATGATCACCGAGGTAACGATCAGGTTGTTGTGTCCCAGAGACAGTTTTTCTCACAGTACGAGTGCCCAGTGGTGGGAACAGCTGACCAAATGTTTTGGTTCACTAAACCCCTAAAGCACTAAACAAAAAGCCTCGCTCTGCTAACGCTAAACCGCTAAACAAAAAGCCTCGCTCTAATGCTAAACCTCTAAACAAGAAGCTTTGCTCTGCTAACGCTAAACTGCTAAACAAAAAGCCTCGCTCTAATGCTAAACCTCTAAACAAGAAGCTTTGCACTCCTAACGCAAAACCACTAAACAAGAAGATTCGGTCTGCTAATGCTAAACAGGTTTTAAAAAAATTGTGGAAGCTAACGCTAATGGCTAACCGCTAAGTCGACTGTCACTGATGGTGCGTTCACACCAAACGCGATTTCAGCGTCAGGAGCAGCAGGTTTACATGCAAAGTCTATGGTGGACGCGCTTCAAGCAACGTCGGGAAGTTCTGCGGCGCCTCAAGCGCGATTAGAGCAGCGCGATTTGGACGATTTGGACGATCTGAGCGTCGAATGCTCAGATCGTCCAAATCGTCCAAATCGCTGAAGTTGGGAAATCTGAACTTTTGCAGCTCGACGCGCAGCGTCAACCAATCAGAGAGACTCCACTGTGTGACGTAGCGACATATTTCCCGACGGGACAGTTTACTGAATGATGTCCACTAACCTGAAACAGACGGAGCTCCTGCTCTTTAGCTGAAATGAGTGCTGCAGTCGTGTCCTGATCCACAGCAATGCGTGGCAGCGACTCATCAGACTGAAAAAATAGTCCTGAAAGCAGCTGTGAGCCTCTTCTCTGAATTATCTGGTGAATTAATTATGAATTAATTATCTGATGAACGTGACACGTTCTGGCTGTCTGTAAATTAAAGCAAAGCCACTTCCTGGTCCGACATTAAACAGAGCCCGACAGAGGAGGGAGGGGCGGGGCGGCTGTCGCCGTGCAGCGCAGATGTCCTGCGTCTGACCTCAAAGTGCACAAGCTTCAAACTTCAGCGTTGGCTGCGATTTTGAAGCTGAAATCGCGTTCGGTGTGAACGCACCATAAGCCTGTGTCACATATGTCTTCATCTCCTTCCATTTGAAGTTTTCTATTGGCTTTCGAGCGACAAGTCCCTTATATGGGAGCGTTTACGTATGCAGCGTTTTTGGGAAATTGTAGTCAGTGATTTTACTACTTCTACTTCCTGTTGTCTTCTTTCTTCATCTTTTTCACCAGTAGAAACAGCCGGTTGTTGATCACGTGACTCCCGGGATGTGAAAAAATTGTTTCCATTGCAATTTTGCGAAATACACCAATTTTGATACGACCGAAAAAAAAACCTCATCCTAGCGCAAAAACATTTTATCGAAAAAAGGAAGTTTCTTCTTGATTGACGTGTTTCCATTGAACAATTTTTTTTTAGAAATTCTAATTAGCGCGTTGTCATGGTCAGTAGAAACGCAGCTGGTTTCTCCGTATTTGTTTGCCTCCAACTCTCCTCTTTTCTCAGACGGAGAAGTTCTCCGCGGCGGTGACTCGCTCAGACAGCCCCGCCCACGTCTCCGCGGCGGTGGGGGCGGAGCCTGATCAGGTGGAGGAGCACAAGCACATGGAGAACCTGCTGGTCAGTGACGGCGGCGGCCTCGGCCTGGAGCAGAGAGGCCTGAGGCGCTCCAGAGCCGTTCGCAGTAAGAACCAGTCCACATGTGGGAAATTAAAAACATGAAGTCAGAACCAGAACTTCATAACGTCACGTCTGGTTCTGGTTCTGGTCCTCAGGTTTGGGCAGGGTGAGCCCGTCTCAGGTTTCTGTAGCCAAGGAGGACACGAGCAGCAGTCAGGACGACCCCACTGATGAGATCATGGACCGCCTGGTGAAGTCCGTCACCCAGAATCCCTCAGTCAAACCAGCCAGCCCAAAGACTCGCAAACGGTCCCGCCTCAACAGGAAGTCATGTGAGTAGACGTGATGGAGCTGGATTTAGGGTTCAAAGGTTCTGCTGCAAAGACCTCTGATGATTCTGACACCTCTGTGGTTCTGATGGGGCTCGTGGACCTGGTTCTTCCTGGCTCAGACTCTGTTTGAGACACAACAGCAGCTCTGTGTCCAAAACAGAGCGGAGTCCGGCCCGCCTCCTATCAGTGTTTCCACTTCCTCTTAATCTGTCTCCAGCTGATAATCATCAGGTCCAACATCCCGCTGGAGGGCACAGAACCACCGAGTCTAGGTCCACAGGCTGCCCCGTGGCTCTGTGGGGTCCTGGTTCTGATCTGTTCTCTGTCCAACCAACCCGAGACCTGGTTTTTAATAATCTGGGACAAAAGTTGTAATCTGGATCACGTGATCTGTCTCAGCTGTTGAAAGAAAAGTTGGACTGGATCGGTACAACCGGTTTGGTTCATTCTTTGGTTTTTCAAAATAAAATCACAAAAACAAAAACGTTTTCAAGCTATTTAAATCCAAAATAAAATATGTTGTGTCTGTTTTAATGATACTGGAAATGAGAGAAGTCACCAAATGAGGAGTTTAAGACCCTGGTAACGTCTGCACTCCAACCTGAGTCTGCATCGTAGAATATTAAAACTATTTTCATCACAATAAAATATTCCTTTAGCTGCATCAACTCCTTCAAAATAAAACCTTCTGAAGTTCTCAGCTGAGGTGGGTACAGTACCAATACCTGTTCTCAAGTAAGAGAGTCAGCGCAGCCGTGGCGGAGTGGTTAGGGGAGTCGTCCTGGAACCGGAAGGTCGCTGACTCGATCTCCCGTTTGGCCGCTTCAGTCGGTGTGTCGTTGAGCAAGACACTTCATCTGTCTTGTCTACTGATGGTGGTCAGAGGGTCCGGTGGCGCAGTATGGCAGCCCTGCCTCTGTCAGTGTGCCCCAGGGCAGCTGTGGCTACAATGTAGCTTATCATCAGTGTGTGAATGAGTGATGCATGAAAATTATAAATTGTCTTTGAGGGTCTCAAAAAGCGCTATATAAGACTATTATTA